CCTCTCAGTGGCAGTCAGCCATGGACGTAGAGATGGCTTCCTGGAAGTCCACAGGCACCTACGTCGACGAGGTTCCCCCACCTGGGGCGAACATCGTCAGTGGCATGTGGATTTTCAGGGTGAAGCGGCCGCCGGGTTCTCCGCCTGTCTTCAAGGCGCGTTACGTGGCTCGAGGCTTCAGTCAGCGGCAGGGAGTTGACTACTTCCACACGTTCTCTCCCACCCCGAAGATGACCACTCTTCGGGTGTTGCTGCACATAGCCGCTTAGCGCGACTACGAGCTTCACTCTCTTGACTTCAGCACAGCTTTCCTGCTGGGCGGCCTGCACGAGGAGATCTGGCTGCGCCGCCCACCTGGCTTCACTGGGTCGTTTCCCCCTGGTACCCAGTGGAGCCTCCGGCGGCCAGTCTACTGTCTCCACCAGGCACCGCGTGAGTGGCAGGACACACTGAGGACTACACTTGCGGCTCTTGGGTTTGCTCCTTCTACAGCCGACCCGTCGCTGTTTCTGCGCACCGACACCTCTTTGCCGCCGTTCTACATCCTGGTGTACGTCGATAACTTGGTCTTTGCCACTGCTGACACTGCTGGACTCGCCCACGTGAAGTCCGAGCTGCAGAAGAGACACACGTGCAAAGACCTGGGTGAACTGCGCAGCTATCTTGGCTTGTAGATCACCCGGGACAGAGCACAGCGCACCATTACCCTGACTCAGTCACACATGGTGCAGCAGGTCCTTCAGCGCTTCGGCTTCACGTACTCCTCACCTCAGGCCACTCCTCTGTCTACTCGCCACTCGCTCTCAGCTCTGCCTTCGTATGAGTCCGTAGAGCCGAGTGGCCCGTACCCACAACTTGTTGGCTGCCTCATGTACCTGATGACCTGCACACGACCTGACCTTGCATACCCTCTTAGCATCTTGGCACGCTATGTTGCTCCTGGGAGACACCGACCAGAGCACATGGCTGCAGCGAAGAGGGTGTTGCGCTACGTGTGCAGTACGTCGGGCATGGGGCTAGTCCTTGGAGGGCGACGTCGAGTGGTCCTCACAGGTCACGTTGACGCTTCTTGGGCTGACGACCAGGCTCTGCAGCGGTCGTCACAGGGTTACACCTTCAGCCTTGGCTCCGGCTCTGTTTCGTGGCGGTCTACCCGCTCGTCCTCTGTTCTGAGCTCCAGTTGTGAGGCTGAGATCTACGCAGGGGCCATGGCTGCACAGGAGCTACGCTGGCTCACCTACCTGCTGACTAACCTAGGAGAGCCGCCTCGTTCTCCTCCAGTTCTGTACGTAGACAACAAGGCCATGTTGGCCTTGTGTCGGGAGCAGAGACTCGAGCACAGAACGAAGTACATTGCTCCCCGCTGCTTCTTGGCTCGTGACCTGCAGCAGCGTGGTCAGCTCTGCCTCACCTACGTGGCCTCTGAGGCGAACACTGCTGATATCTTCACGAAGGCCCTTCCGCCTTGTGATCATCAGCGCTTCTGTACTTTGCTAGGTCGTGTGTCTACCTGGCCTCACTTGCTCACTTCTTGATCTTGTTTGTACTGTACTCTTTCTATACCTGCACTTGCTTGTTTACCTTTATATATATATATGATCTTGCATGTGAACTGGCCTTGTGGCCTTGCTCTTGTGCTCGGACTGTGTGGTGACTTTGTGATCCACCCTGAGCTTGCTTTGCTTCGCTTGACTGGTCTTGTGACCACTTGTTCTCCCCTTCTTTGCCTATGGGGGTGTGTCAGAACATTATAGCTTATACATCTGTGTAGGCTGTAGTGGGTTAGCTCATAAGGGGTACAACCCAATTAGGGTTAGTACTTGTACCCAACTGTTTCATAGTTCATTTTTTTTCTCTCGTTCTAAACTTGCAGGGGTATGTCGTCCAGGTATACTATGACGCACTTATCTAAGACCGGGCGGAAAGCTTCGTTCATGGTCATTTGAAAAGTGGCGGGGGCGTTGGTCAGTCCAAAGGGCATGACGGTGTATGCGAAGGATCAGTAGCGTGTGCGAAATGTGGTCTTAGGGCGGTCGGGCGGATTGACGCGAATCTGGCGGTAACCCCCTCGGAGGTCGATTTTCGAGAAATCCCGGGCTGTGCGCAGTTAGTCGATCAGTTCGTCGGCTCGCGGGATGGGGTAACGGGATTTGATGGTAACCCTGTTCAGTGCTCTGTAATCTATGCACATGCGAAATCCCCCGTCTTTTTTCGGTGTGAACAGTATCGGTGCTGCGAACGGCGACGAACTAGGGCGAATGAATTCCTTCTCGAGCAGGTAATCGAGCTGCTTCCTCAGTTCGTCCAGTTCGGGCTGGGTCAGTCGGAAGTGTCGCTGTACTGTTGGCTGTGCCCCCGGTTCTAACCCGATCCTGTGGTCGTGCGGTCGCTGAGGTGGCAGTCCCGTCGGTAAATCATCCGGGAAAATGGCGCTGTACTGCTTCAACAGTGCTGCCAGATCACTCGGTACGTCGGCCAGCAGTTTCTGTAAATCCTCTCCTTTGTCTACTGCCTCGGCTTCTCGAATGTCGACCGCGTACACGTCAGCTCCTGCCGCTACGGCGCGTTTCATCGTGATCGGGTTGACACGCACCGACGAAGACTCAGGCGAGCCCCAGCGAGGTAAGGCGATGTTGTTACCGTTCACTCGCACGGTGCAGTCACCTGTCGTCCAGTCGATTCGCGGTTTGTGTCGTCGCAACCAATCACGTTCGAGTAAAATATCGGTTCTGTCGAGGGTCGTTGCGAGCATTTCCTGGCTAAACGTGAAGTTACCCCGACATCGAATCCGAACCCGGTCTACGCGTTCCCGTATCGCCAGCGGTGTGCCATCTACTAGTCGTGCGTCGACCTCAGGTAAACATCTGTCCAGTGGTAGTCGCAGTTTTCGTGCTGTAGAGGTGTTGATGAGGCTGTGGCTGGCTCCCCCGTCTACGAAGATTTTCCCACTAAGCAGTATGGGGCCGTCTACCGTAGTCCCCTCCTTATTCGGCCGAGTGTGGTCGATTGTGTGAACCGGCACAATCACTCGGTGAGGGCCGGTTGGGTCGGGCGAGCGGCGTGACCTGCCAGTAGAGGGCCCGTGTGCTACTGACTCCCAGCGTTTCTTCGCTGCTTGGTCTGTTTCTGCTGCTCAGCTTCCCCCTTCCCCTTAGCGTTTTCCGGGCATTCGCTCTTGCGATGTCCCGACCGATTGCACGCAAAGCGGCGCCCTTTGAACGGTGCGGCAGCGGCATTTGCGGCGACGGCACGTATCGTGGTGCCCTCGTTCGTCCCACGAGGCCGATGTCCCCAATGGCTACTTCCGTAGGACCCCGGTCTCGGTCGGCGGAAGAAATCAAGTTTCTCCGCTATGGCGAGAATTTCTTGAAAGTCGGTGACGCCGCGGAGCTGGATTTCCTGAGTGATGTCCTGCTTCAGGCCGCCGATGTAGCGGTCGATGCGCTCGCTCTCGTGCATATATCCCACCTGCTCGCATAGCGCCAGAAATCCGCTCGTGTAATCTTGGACAGAACCGAGTTGGCGCCAAGTGCGGAGCTTCTGTCGCGCCGCGATCGAAGCCGCGATTGGCTCGAAACGAGCGCGTAGGCCTGCGCACCACGCGTCCCACGTGCGATACTGGGGCACCTCCACGAAATACGACGGCGCCCAGGGTCCGGTTTGTCCTTCCCGTGTCGGTAGATTCGCGTAGTCCACCGGCTTCGTGACGATGACGCGCCACCAGTCCATGGCGGGTCCATGAAGCAACGACACGGCGTAGCGAATCTTCGCCGTGTCCTCCGAGACGTAGTTCGCGTCGAAGAAGACGTTCAACGTGAAGAGCCACGCCTGAACGGTAGGACCACCCCGCTGACTTGGGTCAAAGCATGGCGGACACTGCGGCTTTAGCGGCATCGGGGACGGAAGAGTTGATTCGCCGGCCGGCACTGAAATCGTGACTCGAGGTTGAGTCCTGGCCGCATTCGTCGCGTCGGGGTGTGTCGTGTATTGGTCGTCGTCTCCGTCATGGCGGACGACGCCATCACTTGCGGCGCTCGCGGGTTGCCCCACACTTCCGTGCTGTGATGTCTGTGGTGCGGGCTGAATCGGAGTGCCAGGTGCTTGGGATTGTGCCCGTGTGAGGTCGTTTTGCAGGGACGAGCGTTCTGCCGTCAGCGTCGCGATTTCCTCGGCGCTCTCGCGGATTTGTCGCAGCAGATCGTTCAAGTGCTCCTGCGTGAGAGGCGTGACGTCGATATGTTCAGCCATTTCGAAGGGCGTCGGCTCGTCTTAGTCTAGGCGCAGTCGTGGCTGCACGCGTTTACGAGAGAACGCGAGGACAGCGGCTCCTAGGTGCTAAGGTAAGTGAGTCCCTTCGAGTGAAAAATCAAAAGTTGATTTCCTGGGGTGCGGGGATGCGCGGTCTGAAAGAAAGGGGCTCTGAATACGAAGTGTTACGGGTGCAATGAATCGAAGTAGCGAGAATTGCACTAAGGTGTCAAACGAGTACAAAATATGAGCCAAGGCATGAGCGAACATTTATATGCGAAACATGCAAACGGTAACGCGGTGCGTGCGAGCTAGCTAGTGCTACGCTGGAGCGAGGCTCGGGCTAGTCCCGAAGCGTAGGCCGTTTCGGCCAGGCCAGCAGTGCGGGGTTTGGTGAAACAGTGCCCACCAAGTCGGCGAACCCCCGTTAGCAGTAACGGGTGAACAACGGCTGTTGCTGTACGCGATGTAGTCGGGCTCCGTAGTCGGGCTCCGTAAGGAATGCCGAGAAAATTCCTTACACGCACCCTAACGGGCGAACAACACCACCTTCTGTACGCGGTGTTGTCGAGAAAATTCCTTAGATTAGAAGACACTACCAGCCAATTTCAACCGAAGAAACTATCGCACCAGCCTGACCTCTATCTCCACCTCTGTTCCTCTGATCTGTTTTCTGATCATAATCCCAAGGCGATGAGTCTAATCGGCGCGCTTCACGCAGTCAGTCATCCTATGCGCTCGCGATCGCACTAATGGAGCCAACCCGCGTGCCGGCGGAGCGCGTGGACAACATCTTCTTCAAGAAGCTCGGCGTCGAATTCCGCCTCGCGTCGGCCAAGGACGTGCAGGATGCGAGCCGGCGCGACGATGGACGGCCAGGATCCGACGGCGAGGATGATAACGGCGGGTTCGGAGGGGACGGGCTGTCGCTGCCTCCCGGCGGGTCTCGCCTGGCCGTTTCCAACAAGTTCGGCGTCTCCGTGCTCGCCAGCGCTTGCGGTACTTGCGGCGCACCCGCTGCTCCCTCGCCTCGCACAGCTATCCGCATCTAATGATTGTTTTTATGTCGACTGTGAATCATTCCCCATGCCGTTCATGAAAAGTATTTGTCATGTTGATTGTATCTCCTCGCTTCCATCCCTCCTTGCAGCTCCCATTTTCTCACCTTCCCATCCCTCACCACCGCATCCCGCCCCGCCGATTCGGCTTCGAGCGTTGGTCGTCGCAGGCTTCTACGCGGCGCACACGCGCGATCTGCTCGTCGTCGCCATGGGCTACAAACGCCGCGCCGAGGCGGGCGACACATTCCTCGACGCGCCGCTCTATGCCGGCGCTACAGCCGTGCGGCGATACCGCCAGGACGGCATCACGGCTGTAGCGCTGGCGGCGGACGAGCTCACGCTGGCGGTTGTAGCGGGCGCGCGCGTCGCGCTCTACAGCCTGCCGGCGCTGGTCGCGCCGTCTCCTGTGCTCAAAACAGACGAGGAGGTGAGACCGCGAGTGGGGTATGCGCCGCTCTGGCGGCTGTAGCGCCGGCAGCAGCGCTGAAGCCCTCTCCTGCCTCCCACCCCCTCCCCACTTCACCTTCCCCCTTCCCTCCTAAAACCCCTTCCCTCCCCCCCTTTCCCCTTCCCCCGCACATCCAGGCGCTGGTGGCGGAGGGGGCGGCGTGCAAGGCGGCGGAGGCGAGCGGCGCAGCAGCGCGCATGGAGAGCCCCCCCGCGCCCCTGCACACTGTACACGTCGCGGAGGCCCTGCAGGCCGCGGGGCGGGGCGGAGAGGGGGAGGAGGGCGCGCGCTTGGCGGAGTGGGGGTGGAACCCGGAGGTGGCGGGGAGCTTTATGATGCGCACGGAGGGGGGGATGGTGCTGGCAGGGCGCGTGGGGCAGGCGGGACTCAAGCTCGTTGCTGATGGCGCAGCTGCTGGTATGCATTCCGCTGCTGCTCTCTGCTTTGTTTCTAGGCTTTCTAGGTAATCTCTTGTGCACCTGCATGTGGTGCTGTGAGGTGCTGTGCGGTGCTGTGAGCTGCCTGAGTGCCTTGCCTCCGTGCTTTTTGATTGACAGAGCCTCTCTCCCTTCCACCCGTCACCCCCTCCCCACCCTTTTTCCCATCACGCCTCCCTCAGCCGCGTGGAGCCCCTGTGGCATGTTCCTTCTGGCAGTGTGCTCCGCTGTGACGTGCCGGGTACCTGAGTGCATTGACCCCTTGCTCTTGTCCCACACCTCCCTCCCCCCCCCTCTCCCCCCCCCCACCATCGCAGCCGCGTGGAGCCCGTGTGGCATGTTCCTGGCGGTGTGCTCCGCCTCAGCGCGTCTCACCTTCCACTCCGACCTGCTGCTGCCGCTCTTCTCGCTCTCCCTTGATCTTCCCCCCTTGGGCGATTGCCCCACATCGGGTGAGTGTGCCCCTAACCCCACCACGCGTGAGTGAGAGCACCCCTAGCCCCACCACGGTTGAGTGAGAGCACCCCTAGCCCCACCACGGTTGAGTGAGAGCACCCCTAGCCCCACCACGGTTGAGTGAGAGCACCCCTAGCCCCACCACGGTTGAGTGAGAGCACCCCTAGCCCCACCACGGTTGAGTGAGAGCACCCCTAGCCCCACCACGGTTGAGTGAGAGCACCCCTAGCCCCACCACGGTTGAGTGAGAGCACCCCTAGCCCCACCACGGTTGAGTGAGAGCACCCCTAGCCCCACCACGGTTGAGTGAGAGCACCCCTAGCCCCACCACGGTTGAGTGAGAGCACCCCTAGCCCCACCACGGTTGAGTGAGAGCACCCCTAGCCCCACCACGGTTGAGTGAGAGCACCCCTAGCCCCACCACGGTTGAGTGAGAGCACCCCTAGCCCCACCACGGTTGAGTGAGAGCACCCCTAGCCCCACCACGGTTGAGTGAGAGCACCCCTAGCCCCACCACGGTTGAGTGAGAGCACCCCTAGCCCCACCACGGTTGAGTGAGAGCACCCCTAGCCCCACCACGGTTGAGTGAGAGCACCCCTAGCCCCACCACGGTTGAGTGAGAGCATCCCTAGCCCCACCACGGTTGAGTGAGAGCACCCCTAGCCCCACCACGGTTGAGTGAGAGCACCCCTAGCCCCACCACGGTTGAGTGAGAGCACCCCTAGCCCCACCACGGTTGAGTGAGAGCACCCCTAGCCCCACCACGGTTGAGTGAGAGCACCCCTAGCCCCACCACGGTTGAGTGAGAGCACCCCTAGCCCCACCACGGTTGAGTGAGAGCACCCCTAGCCCCACCACGGTTGAGTGAGAGCACCCCTAGCCCCACCACGGTTGAGTGAGAGCACCCCTAGCCCCACCACGGTTGAGTGAGAGCACCCCTAGCCCCACCACGGTTGAGTGAGAGCACCCCTAGCCCCACCACGGTTGAGTGAGAGCACCCCTAGCCCCACCACGGTTGAGTGAGAGCACCCCTAGCCCCACCATGGTTGAGTGAGAGCACCCCTAGCCCCACCACGGTTGAGTGAGAGCACCCCTAGCCCCACACGGTTGAGTGAGAGCACCCCTAGCCCCACCACGGTTGAGTGAGAGCACCCCTAGCCCCACCACGGTTGAGTGAGAGCACCCCTAGCCCCACCACGGTTGAGTGAGAGCACCCCTAGCCCCACCACGGTTGAGTGAGAGCACCCCTAGCCCCACCACGGTTGAGTGAGAGCACCCCTAGCCCCACCACGGTTGAGTGAGAGCACCCCTAGCCCCACCACGGTTGAGTGAGAGCACCCCTAGCCCCACCACGGTTGAGTGAGAGCACCCCTAGCCCCACCACGGTTGAGTGAGAGCACCCCTAGCCCCACCACGGTTGAGTGAGAGCACCCCTAGCCCCACCACGGTTGAGTGAGAGCACCCCTAGCCCCACCACGGTTGAGTGAGAGCACCCCTAGCCCCACCACGGTTGAGTGAGAGCACCCCTAGCCCCACCACGGTTGAGTGAGAGCACCCCTAGCCCCACCACGGTTGAGTGAGAGCACCCCTAGCCCCGCCACGGTTGAGTGAGAGCACCCCTAACCCCGCCACGGTTGAGTGAGAGCACCCCTAACCCCGCCTACTTGTGTGTTCCGCCTCAGCGCGTCTCACCTTCCACTCCCACTGCTGCTGCTCTTCTCCCTCTCGCGCGACCTGTCCCCTCTGGGTGGCTGCCCCACCTCGGGTGGGTGCACCTTCGCATGCCCATCCCATGTGCTGATTTCTTCTCTCTCGCTGCGCTGCTGCCAGTCCTTCCTCGTTGCACAGTGACTTGGGTGTGCGTTGCCCCGCACATGCCTGCCTCCTCCCGCCATAATGCTTGCTTGCTTGCACTGCCCTGCCTCCTACGCCTTCATGCCATGCCGTGTGCTCTGCGTGTGTGCCCTCCATGTGTGCTGCGCTGCGCGTGTGTGCTCGCTGCACGTGCTGCTCTGCCTGCCTGCATCCATCAGTGACTTCGGTGCGCTGGGCGGCGCCCAACGCGCTGCCACTGTCACTGCTTATGTGATGACTTTGTTTCTTGCACTGCGTGTGTGCTCTCTGCACGTGTTGCTCTGTGGCCCTGCCTGCATCCATCAGTGACATCGGTGCGGTGGGTAGCACCCAACGCGCTGCTGGTGGAGGGGGAGGCGGAGGATGAGGACTTTGGGGAGCCCACGCGCTCGCTCTTCTGCCTCTCCTCATTACACGGCAACCTGCACGAGGTATGCTCTCTGCTGCACGGCAACCTGCACGAGGTATGCTCTCTGCTGCACGGCAACCTGCACGAGGTATGCTCTCTGCTGCACGGCAACCTGCACGAGGTATGCTCTCTGCTGCACGGCAACCTGCACGAGGTATGCTCTCTGCTGCACGGCAACCTGCACGAGGTATGCTCTCTGCTGCACGGCAACTTGCACGAGGTATGCTCTCTGCTGCACGGCAACCTGCACGAGGTATGCTCTCTGCTGCATGGCAACCTGCACGAGGTATGCTCTCTGCTGCACGGCAACCTGCATGAGGTATGCTCTCTGCTGCACGGCAACCTGCATGAGGTGCGCCCTGCCCTCTGCACAGTGTGCCAAGACCGCTGCATCTTTCCACTCCTTCCCTCGCCCTGCTGCTTGAAGCATGTTCCTTCTGTGCTGGCCCATCACCCCGCGCTCTCACCCCTTACCTCCCGTGCTGGCTCCACCCACCCCACCCCACCCACCCCGCCTGTGTGGGCCGGGCAGGAGGCGAGCAGCAAGCAGGTGCGCCAGCTGGAGGGGGCGTTTGCCGGCGTGGAGGACGTGCCAGGTGGCGGCATGCTATTGGCCACGCTGCAGCAGTGGTGCGTGCCGTGCCTCTCCTCCTCAACAGCCCACTGTTGCATTGCATGCCCTCCGTCCCCTTGCGCATGCCCTCCGTCCCCTTGCGCATGCCCTCCGTCCCCTTGCGCATGCCCTCCGTCCCCTTGCGCAAGCCCTCCGTCCCCTTGCGCATGCATGTGTCTTTCAACAGCAACCCATTGACCCATCCATGACATGGTTGTGCGCATGGGCATGTTATGGCTGGCTGCGCTCAACATGCCCTCATGGCCCCCACCACTCCCCCTCACCCGCCCTCTCTCTGCTTGTGTGTACCTGTGCTCATGCGCGTGCCCGTGCTCGTGTGTGTGCGTGCTCTCATGCATCTGTGTGTGCGTGCTCTCATGCATCTGTGTGTGCGTGCTCTCATGCATCTGTGTGTGCGTGCTCTCATGCATCTGTGTGTGCGTGCTCTCATGCATCTGTGTGTGCGTGCTCTCATGCATCTGTGTGTGCGTGCTCTCATGCATCTGTGTGTGCGTGCTCTCATGCATCTGTGTGTGCGTGCTCTCATGCATCTGTGTGTGCGTGCTCTCATGCATCTGTGTGTGCGTGCTCTCATGCATCTGTGTGTGCGTGCTCTCATGCATCTGTGTGTGCGTGCTCTCATGCATCTGTGTGTGTGTGCGTGCTCTCATGCATCTGTGTGTGCGTGCTCTCATGCATCTGTGTGTGCGTGCTCTCATGCATCTGTGTGTGCGTGCTCTCATGCATCTGTGTGTGCGTGCTCTCATGCATCTGTGTGTGCGTGCTCTCATGCATCTGTGTGTGCGTGCTCTCATGCATCTGTGTGTGCGTGCTCTCATGCATCTGTGTGTGCGTGCTCTCATGCATCTGTGTGTGCGTGCTCTCATGCATCTGTGTGTGCGTGCTCTCATGCATCTGTGTGTGCGTGCTCTCATGCATCTGTGTGTGCGTGCTCTCATGCATCTGTGTGTGCGTGCTCTCATGCATCTGTGTGTGCGTGCTCTCATGCATCTGTGTGTGCGTGCTCTCATGCATCTGTGTGTGCGTGCTCTCATGCATCTGTGTGTGCGTGCTCTCATGCATCTGTGTGTGTGTGCTCTCATGCATCTGCGTGTGTGTGCACATGAGCATGAGGAGCAGGCAGGTGGCGGTGGCGGTATGTCAGCGCAGCAGGGACTACCATGTCAACGTGCTCGGATGGTTCCCCGCACCTTCCTCCTCTGCTGCGAGCAAGGAGGAGGAGCAGCAGGAGGGCGGGGGGTGGAGCAAGGCGCGGGTGTGTGAGATTGCCAACGATCGATGGCTGGCGTGCATTCAGAAGCAGGGTGAGGGGATGGGTGAAGGGGTTGTGCATAGAAGGGGAGATGAGAACGGGGGGATGGGAACGGGGGGATGAGAACGGGGGGATGACGGCCACATGGCCGGCATGGCAGCGTACCTCTTAAACCCTTCATCTCATCTCACCCCACTGCCCTATAGAATATTCAATATGGTGACGACAACCAGGTGGTGGGGGCAGGGCGGCAGGGAGCCCATGGATGGACACGCCCTTCACCTCATGTGCATCCTGCCCTCTACTTCCCGCCCTTCACCCCCTCGACGCCCCTCACCACAGAGAGCGGCGACGACAACCAGGTGGTGGGGGCAGCAATGGACGTGTGCTCTGCATGGGCCGCAGTGAGCCCCATGGACCCTCGGGACGACGACACCCACATGGTGGTTGTGGTGGAATGGAAGGCATGCGAATCGAATACTCCACCCTTCATTTTCCCTCGGACTCCTCGCTCTCTCCTTGCTTGCCCGCACCTGTGTTCTTCCAGAGAGCGGGGACGACAACCAGGTGGTGGGGGCAGCAATGGATTTGTGCTCAGCATGGGCCGCAGTGAGCCCAATGGACCCTCGGGACGACGACACGCCTCTGCCCGCCATGCCCCTGCTGCTCGCTGTCACGCTCGACTGCTGCTTCTACGCCTTCTCCCTCACGCGGTAGGCAGGCACTCTCCCTCTCCCTTGTTCGGTACGCTCCCTTTCTCGCCAAAATGCTCTCCCTCGTGCCGCTCAGGACTCAACGCGCTGCTGCGTGTATTCGCCCGCAACTTCTCCTCTGTGCCTTGCCCATGCTGCTATGCCCCTAGCATTGAAGCGTAACTCGTGCCTTACAACCCCCTTGCTCTGCTCTCCACTCCCTTCACCCCCGGACCCCCACCTGGAGCCCTTCCCCTTTGACTCCTGTTCGGCCTCTCCATCCACCTAACCTCCTTCCACAATCTCTAATCCCCAACCGCCCTTCCCCTGCCCATCTGCTCCCTTTACCCCTCCCCTTCTCCCCCACGGCAGTCTCGACAAGCTAGAAGGCCCGTCCCTCGTCCACCCCCCTCTCCCCCTCCCGCCTCCCCTCGCCTCCCTCCCCCTGCACGCGCCCCCATCGCCCCCCACCGCCTCCCTCCAGAGCCGCGCCTCTAGCCCCCCCGCCACTCCCCCCCCTACCTCCCGCCCCACACTCCCCCCTTCCCGCCTCCAGCCGGGGGTTGTGGCAGCCCAGGGGGGAGGGAAGAGGGAGGGGGAGGACGAGGATGAGGACACGGCTAGCAGCCCGTCTCCGCCGCCCGGTGATGCAGCTGGGGAAGGCGTGGGGGGAGCGGGGGGAGCGGGGGGGGTGGGGCAGGGGGCGGCAGCAGTGAAGGTGTCCCCCACAGGGGGAGCAGCAGCGTCCTCTCTCAAGCCAGGCGCCCCACAGCCCTTTCTGCAGCGCCTCATGCATCCCTCCCCCGCCGCTGCTGCCCCAGCTGCCGCTGCTGCCCCAGCTGCCGCTGTGGCCGCCTCTGCTGCTGCTGCTGCTGCTGCCTCTGCTGCCGCCCCTTCGTTCTCCCCACCTTCCTCCTCCCCTTCTCCTTTCTCCTCTGCATTCCCTGCCTTTGGTTCTGCCCCTGCCTTTGGTTCGGCCCCGGCCTTTGGTTCAGGTTCGGCCCCTGCCTTTGGCTCTGGTTCGGCCCCTGCCTTTGGCTCTGCCCCTGCCTTTGGTTCTGCTCCTGCCTTTGGCTCTGCCCCTGCCTTTGGTTCTGCTCCTGCCTTTGGCGCTGCCTCCCCCTTCGGCACTGCCTCTTCTCCCTTTGCCCCCAAGTCCCCAACCCCAGCCTCCCCCTTCACCATGCCATCTGCAAAGCCTGCCGAAACTCCCACTGCTGCTGCTCCCTCTGCAGCCGCTGCAGCCTCTCCCCCCGCGTCCTCCCCATTCCCCCTCGCCCCTGCGCCCTCCTCCACTCTCTTCGCCCCCTTCTCCCGCCCCCCTGACTCCTCCAAGCCCCTCTCCCCCTTCCCCTTCCCCTCCTCCACCTCCAAACCTGCCTCCCCCTTCCCCTTCCCCGCTGCCCCTGCTGCTAAAGATTCCCCCCCAGCTGCCCCTTCCGCCTTCCCCCCATTCGCGTCCCCCACCTCCGCATCCCCCTTTCCCCCCCCCGCCTCCTCCTCCTCGCCGTTCGGCCCGTTCGGCTCTAAAAACGCTCCTCTGCAGGGCCTTCCTTTTAACGCATCTGCTGCTGCTGCTGCCCCTGCTGCTGCCACTCGTGCTGGTAGTGCTGGTTCTGCTGCTGGTGCTGCTGCTGTGGCGGCAGCAGCAGGAGCGGCAGCAGCAGGGTCTCTGGCTGACAGGCGCCTGCCTGCTAAAGGAGCGTTTGTGGTGGGGAAGACAGGGAGGGAGGCAGAGGAGGAGGAAGAGGAAGAGGAGGGAGAATACGAGGAAGGGGAGGAGGAGTATGAGGGGGAGGAAGGAGAGGAAGAGTATGAGGAAGGGGAGGAGGAGCAGGGGTATGAGGAGGAAGAGGGGGAGGAGTATGAGGAGTATGAGGAGGAGGAAGAAGGGGAGGTGTATGAACCAGAAGAGGCAGCGCGGCCAGCGATTTCCAAGCCAGAAGCAGTCTTCCCACACCCCTCCACACTCCTCCCCACCGCTCTCTCCCCCGACCAGCGCCGCTCGTTGCTCCCCAAACGCTCTCCCGCGCAATCCTCCCACCCAGCAGCAGCGGCAGCAGGCGGGGTGATAGAGGCGCTGATAGCAGCCATGGGGGAGATGAGGGGGATGAGCGCGGAGGTGCAGGGGGCTGTGGAGGGGGGGGCGCTGGGGGAGCGGTTGAAGGAGGTGGAGGGGCGCGTGAGGGAGATGGGGGGTGCTGTGAAAGGGTTTAAGAGCGGTGTGGAGGAGTTGAGAGGGGTGGTGGAGGAGCTGAGGGATGGGAATTTGATGGGTGAGTGGGAAGGGAAGATTGGGAGGAAGGGATGCAGGCAGAGAGTGGGGGTGCTGGGGCAGAGGGGGTGTTGGAAGGAATGGAGGGTTGTCTGGTGCAAAGGGAGAGGGACTAAGGGAGAGGGACTAAGGGAGAGGGACTAAGGGAGAAAGTAAAGTGGTTTTGCTCTTCATTTGCATTGTGTGCTCCTTCCCACTGGCCCCTTGCTCTCCCTCATATCATACCAGGGCATGCATTCCAGTCCTACCTGTTCCTCCGACTCTGCCCCCCATCCTCCCCCCCCTTTCCACCAGTGGAGGACAGGGTGGTGCGCGCGTCCCACTGGGTGCGCCTGCTCGCCTCCCCCTCACTCGCCTCGCTGCATGCCGACCAGCCTCTGCGTCCTCTCATCCCGTGTTCCTTCCTCAAGTCCGTCACCCCTTCTCCCCCTCCCCATTCCTTCCAAACCAGCGGAGGACAGGGTGGTGTGGGCGTCCCACTGGGTGCGCCTGCTGGCCTCTCTCTCACTCGCCTCGCTGCACGCACACCAGCCGCTCACTGTGTCCCGCTCTGTTTCTCCCCTCTTCCTCACCAGCGGAGGACAGGGTGGTGCGGGCGTCCCACTGGGTGCGCCTGCTCTCCACCCCCTCCCTCGCCTCGCTGCATGCTGACCAGCCACTGCCGCCATCGCTGGAGCAGCAGCGCCAACGCGTGCTCACTCTTAGACAGGTGGGTGGGAAGAGGGCAGGTAGTGAGGGCTCACCCCACGCCCTGCAATGGGTGCGCCTGCTCGCGTCCCCCTCACTCGCATCGCTGCATGCCGACCAGCCGCTGCCGCCATCTCTGCAGCGGCAGCGCCGACGCCTACTCACTCTCAGCTCAGACAGGTGGGAGCAGCGCTGGCAGAGAGGGCTCACGCTGTGTCAGGTGGGCATGAATGCGTTGCTTGGTTGACGTGAGTGATCTCTCCCCTTTTCCCTCCCTCCCAGCTGCATCACCCGCTCCCACTGCTCTGCGCCTCGTTTTCCCTCTGGCCTTCCTCTGTTCTCTCGCCCTTCTCTTCCTCCCATCCCTCCCCCATCGTCTAATCAACTCATACTTATTGTTCTGCGCCTCCACCCTCCTCTCCTGTTTCTCCCCCCCCCTTCCGCCCCCAACCCCCCTCTCTCCGAATCCCCCAGGAGGTGCTGGTGCGCCTGGCAGAGCTGCAACAGCCAGTCAACTCTTCATTCTCCCTGCCCCCCCCACCACCCCCCCCGTCCCCCCTCCAGGAGGTGCGGGTACGACTGGCAGAGCTGCAGCAGATGGCGCAGGAGGAGGAGGCACGGCGCCGGCAGGAGCAGAGGGAGCGGGAGCGACAGGAGAGAGAGCAGAGGGCCAGGGCTAGTCGGAGGGCGCACAGGGGAGTGTGGCAGGGGCAAGGTGTGGGGTACGGTGGGGGGTACGGGGCTGAGGAGGAGTTTTCATCGCTCACCGATCGGTTTGGTGGGCTCAACATGGCCGCTGCTGCTGGTCGCCACGGGTGCGTTGGCATTGACTCTCTGAACCCAGAACCCCAAACCCCAGTCCTTGCACCCAACCGAACCACTATTCTGATACTCGGCATCTTGGCTCGCACACCCCTGGGCCACTTCAGTGCCTCTTTCCCTGCGCCCCTACGGTTGCTGCTGTTCCTCCTCCAGTCCACTCCATCTCCGCATCACCTCTTCATCCAACTCTCATGCCGTCTTCCGTTCCTCCTGTTCTTTATTCTCTTCCTCTTCCCCTTCCTCATGACTATCCTTCCCCTAATCTTTCCTCCCTCCAATCATCACCCTCCCTTCCCCTCTGCCCCTTCCCTGCAACTCCTCTGCAGCACTTCCCCGGTCTCCCCCTGGCCGCCCCTAGCGGCAACAGTGAACGCGCAGCTGGCAGTGGCCTCCCACCTGCTCCACCAGGCCGCCCTCCTGCGCTCCCGCCTCGCCCTCCCCCCGCTCCCCTCCCCTCCCCGCACCCGCCGCCGCGCCTCCCCCCGCGCCTCCCCCGGTTCCTCCCCCCACACACACCTTCCTGGCCTTCTGGATGACACTGAAGGGCAGGGAACGGGTGGGGGGCGGGGAGGGGAGAGAGAGAAGCGCAAGGGCGGGTATGGGGGGGTGGGGATGCGGGGGAAAACGGGATCCGTGACAGCAGCAGCGATTCTTGAGTCTCTGGAGGATGGGGGGGGAGGGGGAGGTGGATGGGGAGGGGGAAGGGGCGTGTGGGGAGGGGAGGGCAGGGAGGGGGAGGGGGGCGGCAAGAGGCGGGCGTCTGGGAGGATAGGGCTGAGTGCAGGGGACCTGGAGGTGGGGGGAGAGGAGGAGGGGGACAAGGACGAGAATGCGGTGGGGGAGAGGAAGGGGAAGAGGGCAGATGCAAAGGATTGGGGGGTGGAGAGTGTTGGAGAGCGGTTGCGGAGTGGGGGAGGGAGGGAGTGGGAGCGGGTGGAGGAGGAGGAAGGGCGGGGTAGGGGAGGGAGGGGAGAGGGAGGTGCGATGGGGACTCCCAGGCGCAGCATGGGTGCCACAAGGAAGGTGGGTGAGGGGGGATGATGGGGGAATGGTGGGAGGAGCGTGGGGCTTGTTATGGTGGGATGGAAGGGAGGTGAAGGGTGTGGAAGCAGGGGAAGTGCAGTGCTCTGCTGCTGCTGTCGCCTCGCTGCCAACCTGCTCACAGCAATTGCAGTGCATCCCCTCCCACGTGTGCTCTTCTTTGCTGCTCTAACACATCCCCACCTGCTTTTCTCTAAGACCAGCTGCATTAGCACTTCTCCAGCACACACTGCCACACAACCTCTCATGACTGCCCACTCCCTCTCATCCCTCTCCCCTTCCCCACCCTCCCCCTGCCCCAGGCTCTCCCACTGCATCTCCTCTCGTCGCCCTCCCGCTCCTCCCCCACTCCAAAGCGCCCCCTCCCGGGCCTCTCCTCTTTGGGCGGCCATGCCCCCCTCCCTTCAGGTATGTGCCAGCCTGCTCTGCTCTGCTCTTTCTGCTGCTGATGCGGTTGCTGCCTCTCTGCTGCTGCCTTGCCGTCACGCTGCCTTGCTTTTTTCCCTTCAACCCTTCTTGTGCACCATTTGCTGCCATGAATCCAAGGCCCTTCTCATACACTCAGATAACCGGGCTGCAGCATTGGCGACTTGCTGTCATACCACACTGAGGACCCACGTCATATCACAAGCTCATGCATCCATGCACGGCTGCTTTAACCCTGCCACACCAGCCAACCCTTCTCCCTCTCTCGCCTGCATTCCCTATGCCTCCCTTCTCCCCGCCTCCCCCGTCCAGGCCGTGCGGAAGCACCCGCAGCAACAGCAGGAGCAGAACCAGCACGAGCGGCTGCCACGCGCTCACCTGCAGCACCCAGAATGAAGCTGAGGCCGAAAGCCAGAGCTAACAGGGATATAGAGACACACACACCAGCTGCAGCTCCATCCAAGCCCATCTCCCCCACCCTATCTGCTTCTGCGTCTGCCTCTCTCTCCCCTCCCGCTCGCTCTCCCTCCCCACCTGCCCGCACCGCATCCCCTGCCCCTGCCGGCACCTCCCGCTCCCGCTCCCCTTCCCCCACCCCCGCTGCTGTCTCCTCTCCCTCCCCCTTCCCGCCTGCCTCGACTGCTGCAACTGCCGCTGCAGCTGGGAAGAAGCCAGCAGCAACAGCAGCAGGCGTGGCAAGGGGGGCAGGAGGAGCAGGAGGGGCAAGTGCTGCTGGTGCTGGCAGTGTGGCCAGTGCTGCTTCTCTCTTCTCGACGGCATCCAAGCCCACCGTGTCCCCGTTCCCGTCCCTCTTCAGCCCCACACCCATGTCCTCACATACACAGCCAACAACAGCAGCAGCAACGGCAGCGGCAGCAACAGGAGGGGCAGCATCAGCAGCCTCTACTCTCTCCGCTCCGTCCCTCTCAGCTGCCCCCAAGCCACCCTCCTCCTCTCCCTTTGGCTTTGCTTCCTCCTCACAATCCACCTCCTCGTTCTCCTCTCCCTTCTCCTCCCCCTCCTCCCCGTCGCCCTTCACTGCACCAGCCACCAAGCCATCCCCCTTCACCACCAGTGCAACCGCCTCCCCGTTCTCTTCCACTCCCTTCTCCACCTCCCCTTTCTCGTCCTCTCCCTCACCATTCTCCTCCACCTCCCCATTTTCTTCCGCCTCGCCGTTCTCCCAGGCCACCAACCCCTTCCAGCTCCCCAAACAGGCCCCCAAGCCACCCACTGCCACACCCCCTGCCACTGCTTCTACTGCTGCTGCCGCCACCAGTGCTGCCAGCACAGGCACAGCCGCAGCAGCATCAGAAACCGCTGCCTCTGCTGCGGCCGCTGCTGCTAAGCCGAGTGCAAATGCCACAACTGCAGCCCCCTCAGCAGCATCTTCTGCTGCTGCAGCACCCTCCCCCACCCCGTCCTCTCCCCTGTCTGGCTTCTCCTCTGCTCTCCCTTCCTTCTCCTCCCCGTTCTCCTCCGCCCCTGCACCTGCCTCCCGCCCTCCGCTCTTCTCCACCACCACGCCACTCTTCTCCTCCAAGCCGCTCACCCCTCCTTCCACTACTGCTCCTGTCGCTGTCACCCCCACTTCTGCTTCTGCTGCTACTCCATCCACCACCTTGTCATCCACTTCATCCCCAGCAGCCACCACACCACCAGCGGCAGCCACAGCTTCTGCTGCTGCCCCAGCCGCTGCCTTCCCATCCTTCACCTCTCCCTTCGCCTCCCAGTCATCTCCCTTTGCCCCCACCTCCCCCGCCCCTGCCTTGCCCACCGCCCCTCTCTCCACTCCCCCTGTCGCCTCCTCCCCCTTCCAGCCGCCCAGGTCCCCTTCCCCTCAGCCTGCGCCCATGGCAGCAGGGGGAGAAGGGGGGGACGATGAGGGGATGGAGGAGGAGCAAGGAGCGGCCACGGCGCCACCCACCGCTGCTGCAGGCGCCTTTGCCTCGCTGGGCTTTGGCTCCTCTGCTCCCCGCCCTTCCACCACCCCCGCCAACCCCTTTGGAGGCTCTCCCTTCGGCGCCCCTGCCTTCGCCTCCCCCACCTCTGCCTCTGCCTTCTCGCCGGCCTCCCAGCCTGCCTTTGGCGCCAGCAGCACCTCTCCGAATCTCTTTGCACCGGCCTCCTTCGCCCTCCCTGCCGCTTCATCCTCCTCTCCTGCCTCCTCCTCCCCATTCGGTGCTCCCTCTTCTCTCAGCACCCCCTCTCCCGCCGCCCCTCGCCCCTTTGGCTCAACTGCTGGTCCATTTGCCTTCCCTGCCTCCCCCTCCTCCCCCTTCGGAGCTGCTGCTGCCCCTGCTGCTGCCCAGACCTCGCCCAGCTCAGGGTCAGGCTTCGCTCTGGGCGCGTTCGGGCAGACGCGAAACATATCAGGTGCCCCTGCTTTTGGGGCTGCTGCCCAGTTATCTGCGGCAGCACCAGCTGTGTCTCCATTCGCTGGGTTGACGACAGGTGGCGGCTTTGCTGGTGCCGCCCAGGGAGGTGCGTGATGCCCTGCTTTTCAACCCAACACAGTTACATAACCCATGGGTGGCACTTGCTTGCCTCATTTCTCACAGATGCATTTCCTTGTGCTGTTGCCCTTTTCTTGCCCCCGTAATCTCATGACCCCACACCCCCTGACACGAGACCCCCCATGCCTGTGCCCATGCCACCATTTGCCGCCATCATCATGGGTGCAGGAGGAGGTTTTGGGGCGTTTGCCAACAAGCCTGCAGCGCTGGCCTCCCGCCCTTTCACGCCCGCCTCCCCTGCCTCTGCTGGCCCTCCTGGGCTCTTCGCCATGCGCAAGTGAATGCTGTCTTGTCGCATCCTGATAATTGGACAATTGTGTTGCGGTTCAAAAGCACTCCCAGGAATGCGGAACTTCATCTCAACATTGCAGTGTTTAGTGTGGTGTTTGGGCTTCACGCATGCTATTGTTTAGTGTGTTTGTAGAAGGACATTAGCAAAAGTTACAAGTGATTCAGTCTTCTAGATGTTTGATTTACTATATGGATGTCTTGCAACCAATACCGAATTGACAAGCTTTTGCGTGGGGGCAGTCTGGGGCTTTGTAAGTGGACAATACAGAGCTGTCCAGAGACGGAGTACCACGTGTGAAGGGCTTTTCCCGCGTATGTGATTCAGCGACTCAAGGGAGCAATCCCCGTGCCACCGACCGAAGGGTGGCTACACAGTTGGTCGAACAGTCCACATTCTCTGTCTCCGCACTTGCCTCGATTCGGCACTGTTTTGTGGTTCAGTGAACACGCTCCGGCTCTAGCGCAAATGGTTGCTGATAATTATCTGCCAGTGCCCTTGTCCAGCTGGCAGGCAGGCATTCAGCAAATCAACTCGTCTGACGTGTTAACGAGCTCGAGCGCGTGGCCAAACACCCAGTCCAGCGCAGCAGCGCTTTCGGCCTGTCTCAAACCCCTCCAGTCACGATCGCACCGTCCACCCCCTCGCATTCCCTCGCCTCTGGTTGGATCTTCGACCTGGCTACCGTCGCGACGGGTTGGCGGCTGGGAGAGGGAAATGCGTTTGCGAATGGGGAATGCGAATGGGACCACAGCTGTCGCACATGCCGCAACCCCGCCATCACCAACGTCCCTCTGCAGCACACCACCCCGCCTTCTCACTTGCTCATTTCTCGTCTCACCCTCGCAGCAAGCTGTCCGCAGCCCGCCCACCCGTGGCCTCTGTTGCCCACAGCTCTCACTTCTTTCTTGCTCCTCGCCGCTCCTCTTATGACGACGATTTCACAACTTCCTCCGCTCTTTCTCGTTGACACTTCTTCGCTCTCGTCATCTCGCGTCGCACCTCGTAATCTAGTTTCTTCTTTTACGCAATCCTTCAAACCTCTTACACAAACCGCGCGAATGGCTCCCGGGACCTTCCGTTCCGCAGCGGCGTCCGCCGTTCATTCCGGCGGAAGCTTCGGGGGAAACGACTCGCACGCGCAGCAGCACGCGGATCCCGGCGGAAGCCGCAATGCGCAGACGAGCGGGGGGGGAGTGGCGGAGAAGTACGGGCTGCTGGCGGCGGTGATTGCGGCGCGCGGCGGGTGCGCGGTGCTGGACGGCGGGCTGGCGACGGAGCTGGAGCTGCGCGGCGCGGACCTCAACGACCCGCTGTGGTCCGCCAAGTGCCTCATGGAAGAGGAAGCTTCTAGCCTCGTTCGCAAGGTGCGCTGCGGTTGGCAACGGGCAAATCTCTGTCGGTAGTCGAGAGGGGCGAGTGGCGATGCACCTTAGAGGCGACCACGGCTGTAGATGTCTTCTGCAGTGAGCGTGCCCGCATCGCCTCGAACGACAGGCGCGACGCGTCTCGCGTATCTGACATCGCAGCAGCGAGCGCCGGTTGCGTGTGTCGCCGCTAAAGACCTTCAGAGCAGCGAGTGATGGTTCCCCGTGCCGTCGGGCTCTCATCCGTATTAATCATTCGCCCATCCGCCCCCTATTTCCGCCGCCCGCAATCCCGTTTCGTCCATCGCCGCGCGCAGGTTCATCTGGACTACTACCGCGCGGGCGCCGACATTTCCATCTCCGCGTCGTACCAGGTACGGGTGTTGTAGCTCGATGAGTTGCCACATCAGGCAAGTACTGCTATATTTGACAAGTAACAACTCGCGGAAACACTGCCAATATGAGGCTGCCTAAACATCTGTCACTACTCCCCACGTGTCACTACTCACCACGTGTCAAAACAACAACACTTCCAGCATTCATGTTCCTCCATCGTCCACCCAGTTCTCGTATCCCGCCTCTTTTATTTCTGGATCTACCTCAACCCTCTCCGCGAGTTATGCGTAGATGCTTGGACAATACTAGTAGTTATTTACCTCGTTTGTAAAATGTCTCTTTCCGCCTCCCGTTCTCGTTTCTTCACCCACTCGTCCCCGCACCTCGGCGCTTCCCCAGGCAACCATAGAGGGCTTCACGGCGCGCGGGCTGTCGGAGGGGCAGGCGGAGGCTCTTCTAGCGCGCAGCGTGCAGCTGGTGGGGGAGGCGCGGGACCGCTTCTGGGCGCAGCACTGCGCGGAGGCGGAGCGGAGGGGGGAGCGGGTGGAGCGCACGGAGGGCGGCGTTGAGCGCGTGGCGGGGCGCGTGAAGCCGCTGGTGGCGGCGTCCGTCGGCAGCTACGGCGCGTTCCTCGCGGACGGCTCCGAGTACAGGTGTGTGGGGGATGGGGTGCGGCGGTGCGGGTGAGGGTGAGAGTGGAAGTGCGGGTGGATGATTGTGGGATTGCACGTGGGTGCGGGAACAGGCTTTCAATGCTCAAATCTCGGCCGCAGGCTTTAGAGGATCAGTTATTGAGCGAAGGCTTGGCCACAGGTGGAAATTGCAGAGACGTGCAGCAAAGTGGGTCGGGATTCGAACACACGCGCGTATGTGGAGCACGGGTGAGGGGTGAACGCGAAAGTGGGATGAGGTGGGAAGCAATGCTTTGGCCATCCGTGCTGCCTGCGTGCCTGGGGAACACATGCAAGTCGTGTCCTGCGACCCGCCCTCCCTTACCCCCCCTGCAGTGGCGACTACGGTGCGGACATGACAGTGGAGCGACTCATGGCCTTCCACCGCCGCCGACTGCAGGTGCGTGCCATGCCGTGCCATGCAATAACGTGCCGTGCCGTGCGATGCCCTGCGTTCATTCTGCCACACGCCATGTTCGAGCTGCATGTGACATTCTTGTGGCTCCTCATCTGCTTCTTAACTTTCACATGCCTCTGGTATTTCCTTGGACCTCTTCGCCTGCTCATGCTGCCCTTTTCGTGCCACCCCTTGCTGTGCCGCCCCTTGCTGTGCCGCCCCTTGCTGTGCCGCCCCTTGCTGTGCCGCCCCTTGCTGTGCCGCCCCTTGCTGTGCCGCCCCTTGCTGTGCCGCCCCTTGCTGTGCCGCCCCTTGCTGTGCCGCCCCTTGCTGTGCCGCCCCTTGTTGTGCCGCCCCTTGCTGTGCCGCCCCTTGCTGTGCCGCCCCTTGCTGTGTCGCCCCTTGCTGTGTCGCCCCTTGCTGTGCCGCCCCTTGCTGTGCCGCCTGTGCCACGCGTGGTGTGTCCCGTCCGTGTATGCCTCTCCTGGTGGTGTGCCGTCCGTGCTGTGTGCGCCATGGCGGGGGGAGCAGGTGCTGGCAGCAGCGGGGCCGGACATAATCGCCATGGAGACCATTCCATGCCTAATCGAGGCTCAGGTACGCACCACGCGATGCTATCCCGTACCATGCCATGCGACATGCCATGCCACATGCCATGTCATGCAAGGTTGCCGCACCATGTCATGGCATGCCTTGCCCAGCAAGCCATGATTCGCCACTCCTACACCATGCTGATGCACACCTTCTCCTCAATAATGCATCTCATCTCCTTGGCACCGCCACCCTTTCAACTCTCCTCGCCGCCCTCTGCCCCTTCCTCCTACACCCTCTCCGATCCCTCCCCTCACAGGCCCTGGTGCAGCTGCTAGAGGAGCAGGCTGCCACGGGCACAGCAGCAGTGCCGGCGTGGATCAGCTTCAACAGCAAGGACGGCTGCACGGCGCCGTCAGGAGACCTCTTCTCTGCCTGCATCGCCACCGCCGCTGCCAGCCCGCACGTGGTGGCCGTGGGGATCAACTGCACACCGCCCCGCTTCATCCTGCCACTGCTGCATGCCGCTCGGAAGGTGAGGCGGGCAGGGGAAGGAGGCGGAAGAGTGAGTGAGGCGGGTTAGGAAGTGTTCGGTGCTGTTTCGAGTGGGCTGTGCCTCGCCCCGCTGCACTGCGTGGGAGGGCTCAGTTGTGTGCTCCCCATGCACTGCCCCCAAGGCTAGACTGCTATTTTCTCTGTGCGGCAGAGCGGGTCGTGCGACTGCAGCGGTACACTCTGGCAGCCTCAGCATTTATGTGTCCCACTCTGCACTCTTCTCCGCTTCCCTCTCCATTACCTCCTCGTCCAACCATCAACTCTCACCTCCCATCCCCTCTTTCTTGACCCCCCTCCTTCCGTCCCTGTGTGCCCGCATGGCAGGAGACATCGAAGCCACTGGTGGTGTACCCCAACAGTGGGGAGGCGTGGGACGGCATCAACAAGGAATGGGTGGTGCGTGTTTTGCCCTGATCCACTCTGCGCCTCTCCACTATTTTCTGCTCTGCTTTGCTCTGTTCTGCTGTGCTTTCCCCTTCTCTACTGCTGCATACTGCTTCATCACCCACCGATCCATTCGCCCCACTCTTCGCCCGTCCCGTGAGCCCTGTGATCAGTGAAAAATTTCCACACTCCGCTCACCCATTTCAAATGCTAGCACTTTATCGCCCCTGTTTCTTGCCACATGTCTCACTCCGTGCAGCCATGCAGTGGGCTGAGCGACGATGGCTTTGTGTCGTACGCCCCTGAGTGGGTGAGCGCTGGGGCGGCAGTGCTGGGCGGTTGCTGCCGCACCACACCACACACCATCTTCAGCATTGCCGAATGCATTCACTGCCGTGGAGAGAAAGGGGTGTGGGGGAAGAGAGTGGGGCCTATCGTAGTTCGCACAGACACAGAAGTAGACGCAGCTGTTGCGATATGACATGCTTTGCTCCAGCACATTTTTGCTCCGTATTCAGTCGGTGCCTTGTAAATACTCCATTGCATTTGTACCTCCAGGTTTATAATTTTCTTTTTAGACACATGATGGTTCTGTTTCACTAAGGGTTCTCACAGGATCTGTGGCCCTGTTATCCTGAAGAGATTTAACCCACCAAAAGACTGAACACGGTACTGAATCATATGCTTCTGGATTTCCAACCAAGTGTAGGATGAGCGTTACGCTGCTAGATTTTGACACACTGAATTTGGTCATCAGGGGCCACTGTCTTGAAACACTGAATCAGACCGTTTGGCGGCTCGAGCACCGTCAGAGCCGCAGATCTCGCCACACCAACCACGTGTTCCCCCAACACGGATGAATTCAGCAGCCAAAATGCATGGCTGCTTTGGTTCTCTTGGTGGCTCCTTCTTCGGTATGGGGAGCTTTTAGCTCGGCATGCTATTGGTTCGGTGGCTGACGAACTCATATCTCCGCGCTTCGGGACCCGCACATTTAGGGACCAAGTGTGGGGAGGGGTCGACCCAATTGGTTTGGTGGCTGCCTGAACTCCAAGCCTGCCCGCACGTTCCCCGCACACCACCACTTTTCCCTCCCTCCCCCAAACCTTTGTTCAGGCCACCGCCATTTTTTGCGCTGCTGGCCTCGTTCTGTGATTTCGTTTGGCTCCTGGTCACCGCGTTTTCTCGGGCAGTGGTTTGTTTGGAGAGGGTGTGCAATCTGCGGTGCGGTGCGTGGTTTTCATGGTTTGGTTTGTTTGGTGTGCACAAGGGCAGCTTCTCCACACTGCCTAGAACCCCGGCACGCGCGATGTTTAGCCCGTGGACCCCGCACCTGTCCCGTCGAGGCAAACCAAAGCCAGCTTGTCCGCTCCGCTCTATGCGCGATGCTGCCCAGGCATAGCGGAATCCAGACCAAGCCTCTTCCCCCCTTTACGTATGATCTCGTTTCGGACGGAGAACCCCAACGCGCGCGTTCCCTCCGCTCTAACAGCAGCTTGTCAGCACTGGTCCTCACTCCTGGGCGTCCTCGTGTATCATTCTCGCCACAAGTTGTTGATAGATAAGGCAGCCGCAAGATAAGCGTTCCTCATTCCAGATTCTAGTAGTGATTGCTGCATTTTTTGCTCCGTAGTAGTGTGTTCCAGCCTTAGTTTTCTAACCTAGCTACGCCACATACGACTTTTACGAACGTGTTGACTCTTTCGTCCTACTACTAGAGGTACACCGCACAGAAGCGCCGCCATGGGTGTGTCGATCGAGGCGGTGAATGACGAGCAGCCGCCGTTGTCGCGCGAGCAGGGGTCGTCGCGCGAGCACCAGGTGATGGTGCCGCACGCGTCCATCAAGGACGAGTTGAAGGAGACGTTCGCGCCGGTGAAGCAGCTCATGGTCATCGACAACGACCCCTTCAAGGGGTACCGCGGCAAGACGGCGGCGCAGCGCGCGAAGATGGCGCTGTTCTACGTTTTCCCCATCCTCGAGTGGGTCTCTAATTACAAGATCGCCGACCTCTTCGGCGACGTCGTCGCGGGGCTCACCATCGCCAGTCTCGCCGTCCCCCAGGTCAGCATTCCCACCCTTGAGCCGACTCTTCCGCTCGTCGTTTCTGCTACCTGAACGTCCCCTCCTGCTCAATGCGGATGCGCTTCTCCCCCGCGCTGCGTTCCGTTCTACATCGCCTCAATGTCTTGCGTCTCTCCTCCCCTGTCGTCGTCTCTCGCCGTGCAGGATCTCGGGTACGCGAAGCTCGCCAAGCTGCCGCCCATCAACGGTCTTTGTAAGCACCGACCCTTTCGCCCAGCCCTCCGCGCCGTTCTTAGTTTCCTTCGTTCCGCCTCCCATCGCTCGACTGCGTCGCATTGAAACCTCCTCGCGTCAGCTGATGTCGTCTCTGTCGTCGCCATGATCCCTCCTTCGCAAGCCCCCCCCTTCCCCCACTCCTTCGACACATTCTTTCCGCCTCCCCGCTTCTCCTTCCCCTCCACGTCCCCTCCGCGACTCCCCCCCTCCGCCTCCCTTCTCCCTCCTTCAGACAGCAGCTTCGTGCCGCCGCTGATCTACGCAGTGCTGGGCACGTCGCGGCACATCGCGATAGGGCCGGTGGCGGTGGTGTCGCTCCTTCTGGGCGACCTGCTCTCCAAGTACTACGACGCGGACGCGCAGCCCGCGCAGTACCTCAACCTCGCCATCACCGCGACGTTCTTCGCGGGGATCTACCAGCTCGCGATGGGCATCTTCCGCCTGGGCTTCGTCATCGACTTCATGAGCCACGCCGTCATCGTGGGGTTCATGGCGGGCGCCGCCATCACGATCGCGCTGCAGCAGCTGCGCGGGCTGCTGGGGTACACGTCGTTCACGCAGGAGACGGACATCGTGGCGGTGCTCGAATACGTCTTCAAGAACACCAACCAGTTCAACTGGCGCGCGTTCCTCATCGGCATCACCATGCTCGCCTTCCTCCTCGTGCTGCGCGTGCTCGCGCAGCACCTCAAGGGCCGGAAGGTGGTGGGAAAGGTGTTTTTCTACCTCAACTGCGTGGGGCCCATGACGACCGTCATCGTGTCGACGCTCGCCGTGTGGCTGACGAACGCGCCCGTGCCCAAGGTGGGCAAGATGCAGAAGGGGCTGGCGGGGCTGGGGTCGCTGGGCAACCTGCAGCTGACGGGGCAGGACGCGGCGGACGGCGCCGTCGTGGGGCTCGTGTCGGGGCTCGTCGCGCTCACGGAAGCGTCGGCGATCGCGCGGACGTTCGCCGCGTTACAGGGTTACCACGTGGACGGGAACAAGGAGATGATCGCGCTGGGCGCGATGAACGTGGCGGGGTCGTTCACGTCGAGCTACGTCACCACGGGGTCGTTTTCGCGATCCGCCGTCAACTACAACGCGGGCGGCGCCACCATGCTCACCAACATCGTGATGTCGCTCGTGGTGTTGGTCACGCTGCTGTGGGTGACGCCCGCGTTCCAGTACCTGCCGAACGCGACTCTCGCGGCGATCATCATCAACGCGGTGCTGGGGCTGCTGGACTACGAGGCCATCTGGAAGATCTGGAAGGCCGACAAGGTCGACTTCATCGTGGCGCTCGGCACGTTCCTGGGCATTCTGTTTGACTCGGTGGAGACGGGGCTGCTGGTGGGCGTGTGCCTGTCGATGCTCAAGATCCTCGTGCAGATCACGCGCCCGCACCTCGCCACGCTGGGGCTGGTGCCGGGCACGGGCGTGTATCGCAACATTCAGCAGTACCTGCAGGCGGAGGTGACGGAGGGCGTGTATGTGCTGCGCGTGGATGGGCCGCTCTACTTCCCCAACGCCAACTACGTGCGCGAGAAGGTGCTCTCGCTCGCCGACGCGTACAGAGACGACCATAACGGCGACAGTATCACGGTATGTTCTCGCCCCGCACTGATGCCCGCACCCCACCCTTGGGAATTCCCCCGCCCGCCTGTTCACCCCTCTGTTGTGCCAACAGTGAGGTGCGCCCCTCTGTTGCCATACTAGCTCAGTGCTCACAATTCCCTCATGTGGTCTCTCAAGAACTCAGCACTCGCATTCTCTGAGCACTCTTCCAGCGCAGCCCTTCTCACCTCTTCCTGCCCTTGCTCCCTGCCCCCTGCCTCCAATCTCTGTGCGTGGATCCTTCTCCCCCCTGTGCAGCATTTCGTGTTGGACTTCACGCCCGTGGCCGACATAGACACGACGGGCACGCACGCGCTGCAGGAGCTGCATGGGCTGCTGTCCAAGCAGGGCGTGCAGCTGGGCATCAGCAACCCCTCGCGCATGGTGCTGCGCAAACTTGTTGCGTCTGGGTTTCTAGAGGTGCTGGGGGAGGAGTGGCTGTTCCTCTCAGCGCATGAAGCCGTCAAGTCGTGCAGAACATTTAGACTATCTATTAAGGACGTTTGAACAGGATTGCAAGCTGAATGGTAGATACAACTGCAGCTGATTGCAAGCTGCATGGTAGACATATAATTGCCAGCTGCAGTCGGCTAGGTTGTAAAGTATATGAGCTAAACAAGGTTCTGAAAGTGAGGAGTGTAAGATATATGGAGTTACACAGTCGCAGCACGTAAAGATTTTGCTTGCCATGTCACTACATGAGGCGACATTCGGAGGCAGGCGTTCCGTGGCCTACTTTATTGAAAAGGCAAAGCAGATATTTGTATTGGTATCAGTGCCCTAGATATCAGACTTTTTACGCTGATTCAGCGTCCATTCAGACTTTTTTTTGGTACCTGGTCTGAACTGATTATACCTTGTCTAAGTTTTTTTTTATGTACCTTCTCTGATTTTCCAGAGTTTTTTTTATTGTAACCGCTGAAATTTCAGCCAATTTTTAGGGGTGTAGGCTGAGCCTCAGACTTGTGTCGGGGGTGCACTCTGCGAGCTTATCGCAACGAAGTTTCCTGGAAGTTTCGGTTCGATATGCCCACTTCCGAGATGGTAGTGGAGTGCCAGGACGTGAGCAACGCACGCTTCAACAGCTGGGACATCCGAATACACTCGTTCGTCGAGAATATCTCCCAGTTACACTAAGAAAATGGTTGCGTGATTGCGAGATTTCGTAGACAAAATCTCGTCACATGTAAGTTATCGCTGATGTATTTTAAAGAATTGGCGATTTTGATGCTGATTCTTTGTAAAAAAATCTGCAGCATGCACTGCTGTGAAATTGCGAAGCTCCTGATTCGTAGTGTAAGTTTCGTGCGGCACTGCCAGATGCTCACACACGCCACGCCAACCAACAGTTTCTGCCTACTGCCAGGTCAGCTGCGTGGCATTTGGCCCACCTGGCACTGTACGTGACAACAACCAGATCGGGTGAATGATCACATCGCTTGAAACGCAAATCCAAAATTGACAAAATCGGCACACAGGCGAGAAAATGGGTACATAACGGTAATCAGACACACGACGAAACGAAATCTAATCAGCAGAAACAACCCATGCGCTGCACGTGACAAAACAACCAAGGCGATGCACGAGCACGTTGCCTGATGCAAACCCGCCGACCCTGACTGGTTCGTACCGCACAGTTGAGTTGGTATGCTGTAATCAGCTTCAATGCTATTATAAATATGCTTTTACGATACTGCATCATCATCTTAAGATTTGAGGGTAACTCTGACAGTTCAGACAAAAAAAGTTGTGCTTGTCTGAATTTTCAGACTAAAATTTTGAGGCACCTCTGACAGACAGAGTTCCAGGAGGGGTGTACTCTGAGGCGTCAGACTACCTCAAAACGAATCTAGGGGCCTGACCAGAACACACAAGCAAACACATGCAGGAATTGTAAGCAATGCAAGTGAAAGACCACCAGTCAAACCGAAATTCGAAGGCATGTATGGAACATGTTCGAGCAAGTGTTGGAAACAATTAATTTAAGCGCCCCTGTCGTGTCGAAACACCAAGTCAGAAGCGAAGCACAACATATCGAAGCATCAGCGAGTCAACCCTCGGAGGTTGAGCAACTGCTGGAGGTTTCGCGAAAGTCAAAGGTCAGCGACCTTTGACCTGACAAGTACAGCGCGTCAGCAAGGACAAACAACTGACTCGCTATTGAGCAGTTGCCCGAGTCGTCACTGTATCGAACCGCAATAGCAACAGCAAAACAGTTATTAGTTGTAACCCAGGGCCCTCGCTGTGAAAATTTAGAAGAAAGAAGAGGGACTGCACTAGCAAGAATGGGGATACAAATAGGAAACCCTAGAAGGGTTGTACTCGCTATAGAGCAACCCACTACAGGCTAGAGCATAAGATAACATTCTGACACACCCCCATAGCCAAAGTGGGGTGTAATCAGCAGAGCAAGCAAAGCAGTACAAGCTCAGGGTGGATCACAATGTCACCACACATTCTGAGCACAAGTTCAAGAAGCAATAGTTTAAAGTTAACAATTATGAGCAAAGCTAGTGGTAGTCACAACGGGCAAGTGAGGAGGAGGAGAGAGTGTGAGAGGAGAGGAGATAGGAGGCGACGGATGAAGCTGCAGACACACAGGCAACAGGAGGCACACTGGCACAGCGGCTACCGGAACAACGCTCCGGAATATTGGAGTAACTAGCCCCGCGGCTAAAGTAGCGGCAGACGAGCAACGGACCCACGGGCGGCTGGCACAGCTGGCTACGACTGGGCTACCGGACGAAGTCCCCGGAATACAGGTGCTGCTGGCGACACGACGGCAACCTCCATTCAGCTTCCCCAAACTATCCCACTCCCCCCTGGCACACACCCGCTGCTACACCGCTAGCTCCACTCCCCCTTCACCCCCCTTAAACCCTAAACCCTAGTCTCCCACTCATCCACCCCCCTCAGCGACAGCTGCAGCAGTGGGAGACGAAGGAGGAGGAGGAGCAAAGGGAGGAATGCACAACTGCCACCCCCATACTCGCCACCCCCTACTCGCCACCCCGGCCCCCGAAGGTCGCCTCGACAGGCGACGGGAAAAGGGGGGGGGGGGGGGGGGGGGTGCACGTGCCGTAGGTAGGGCGACGGGGCTGGTACGCAGGTAGGGCGACAGGGCCGGGGTCGGAGGTGGGGCGACGGGGCCGGGGCGCAGGTAGGGCGACGGGGTGCGACGCCGGGTCCCCGTCGCCCGTCGCAGCGCCTCCCGGGGGCGACGCGCCGAGTGACGGGGCAGAAGCCCGTCGCGCGCCTCGGGGCGCACGGCGGGCAGAAAACCGCCGCGCGCCTCGGGGCGCACGGCGGGCAGAAAACCGCCGCGCGCCTCGGGGCGCACGGCGGGCAGAGAACCGCCGCGCGCCTCGGGGCGCACGGCGGGAAGAAAAAAAACTGCCGCACGCCACGGGGCGTGCGGCACAGAGAGTAGCAGTAGTAGTTGCAGCGGAAGCAACGAGGTGGTGAGCCCACCCACAGGATCGATCCAAGGGGATCGACCTGCTCTGATACCATGTGAAAATTTAGAAGAAAGAAGAGGGACTGCACTAGCAAGAATGGGGATACAAATAGGAAACCCTAAAAGGGTTGTACTCACTATAGAGCACCCCACTACAGGCTAGAGCATAAGATAACATTCTGACACTCGCTATCAGACATTTTTGTCTGTTTTTCTGAGAAATCAGACAGATTTGTTTTCACTCATCTGATTTTCAAGAAATGGGTGCATTATGCTGTCTGATGGGTCAGAAATGGTTTTTAGTTTCCATCTGTTCTATGAGACACGTGTTTTCTGTTTCATCTGAAATCGAAACATAACATATCGCGATTTCCAGTGTGTTGATAATAGAACGAGAATGAATGAACTATGAATGAAGTGAGTACAAATAGGAAACCCTAACTGGTTGTACCCCCTATGGGATACCCCACTACAGCCTACACAATAGTATAAGCTATATATATGTTCTGACACACCCCCATAGGCAAAGTGGGGGAGAACAAGGGGTCACAAGACCAGTCAAGCAAAGCAAAGCAAAGCTCAGGGTGGATCACAAAGTTACCACACAGTCCGAGCACAAGAGCAAGGCCAAAGGCCAGTTCACATGCAAGAGTACAGACATATATATAAAGCTAGACAAGCAAGAGCAGGTATATATATGTGACAGTACAAGTAAAGTCAAGAGGAGAGCAAGTGAGGCAAGACAGGCACAAGACCCAGCTGGGTGCAGAAGCGCTGATGGTCACAAGGCGCGAGTGCCTTGGTGAACACATCAGCAGTGTTGGCCTCAGAGGCCACGTACGCAAGCCGCAACTGTCCACGCTGCTGTAGCTCACGAGCAAGGAAGTAGCGAAGAGCAATGTGCTTCGTTCTGTGCTCCAGACGCTGCTCTCGACACAAGGCCAGCATGGCCTTGTTGTCTACGTACAGCACTGGAGGAGAACGAGGCGGCTCTCCAAGGTCAGTCAGCAGGTAGGTGAGCCAGCGAAGCTCCTGTGCAGCCATGGCCCCTGCGTAGATCTCAGCCTCACAGCTGGAGCTGAGAACCGAAGACGAACGAGTAGCCCGCCACGAGACAGAGCCGGAACCAAGGCTGAAGGTGTAACCCTGTGACGACCGCTGCGTAGCCTGGTCGTCAGCCCAAGAAGCGTCCGCGTGACATGTAAGGACCACTGGACTCCGCCCTCCAAGCACTAGCCCCATGCCCGACGTACTGCACAGGTAGCGCAATACCCTCTTCGCTGCAGCCATGTGCTCTGGTCGGTGTCTCCCAGGAGCAACATAGCGTGCAAGAATGCTCAGAGGGTATGCAAGGTCAGGTCGTGTGCAGGTCATCAGGTACATGAGGCAGCCAACAAGCTCTGGGTACGGGCCACTCGACTCTACGGACTCATCCGAAGGCAGAGCTGAGACTGAGTGGCGGGTAGACAGAGGAGTGACCTGAGGCGAGGAGTACGTGAAGCCGAAGCGCTGAAGGACCTGCTGCACCATGTGTGACTGAGTCAAGGTAATGGTGCGGCGTGCTCTGTCCCGAGTGATCTGCAAGCCAAGGTAGCTGCGCAGTTCACCCAGGTCTGTGCACGTGTGTCTCTTCAGCAGCTCGGACTTCACGTAGGCGAGTCCAGCAGTGTCCGCTGTGGCAAAGACCAAGTCGTCGACATACACGAGGATGTAGAACGGCGGCAGTGAAGTGTCGGTGCGCAGAAACAGCGACGGGTCAGCAGTAGAAGGAGCAAACCCAAGAGCCGCAAGCGCAGTCCTCAGTGTGTCGTGCCACTCACGCGGTGCCTGGCGGAGACCGTAGACTTGCCGTCGGAGGCTCCACTGGGTGCCAGGAGGGAAAGTCCCAGTGAAGCCAGGTGGACGGCGCAGCCAGATCTCCTCGTGCAGGCTACCCTGCAAGAACGCAGTGCTGAAGTCGAGAGAGTGAAGCTCGTAGTCGCGCTGAGCGGCTATGTGCAGCAGCACCCGAAGAGTGGTCATCTTCGGGGTGGGAGAGAAGGTCTGAAAG